CCACCGCACAACCACCTCCCGTCCCAGATCCATGGTCGCGCCGCCACCCCGACCAACTACCAACCGCGCCGCCACGCCCCTCCCACTCTCCAGCATGGCCAGATCCCATCCAAATCCTCCCCTTCCAAAGAAAACCACAGCCACCCCCAGATCCCCACCGTGATTCCCCTTCTGCTGCTTCCACCTTCTCCTCCCGGCCACCCCTGCCGCCGCACCGGCCACTCCCCAGCGCCGCCGCCTCCTACCCTCGCGCCGCCGCCTTCCCGCGCGCCGTCGCCTCCGGGATCCGCTCCAGCCTGGTCGCTGCTGGATGGCATCGCCATCACACGATGCAGGGAGCTCGGGTCGCTGATGGTCTTCCTCTACTGGATCCCCTCCAACAAGTTCCCCTGCCTCCCCTCCCCTCCGACGAGCTCTCCTGCACCCCCCATGTGAGCTGCCTTGAAGGCGGTAGAGGCTCCCGATGCAGTTCGATTGGTGGTGTGGTGCGGTGTGTGCGGCTTGCAGCTCGGAGAGAGCGGGCATGCAGTTTGTTTGCCCATCTGCAGTGTGGTTTGCCTGGTTCGACCACCACGAGCTGCTCTTCACCAGCAAAAAGACTCCGACCAGCAAAAAATTCTTCATCGTCCAGCGCGGGATGCAGCCCATCGGGGAGGCGATGTGCGGTCCACGACAAGCCCCAATGCAGTGCAGTATGTTATCTGAGAAAAGGCCCAAACCTCACTCCATTTTTGTTGCTGCTATAGTTCACTCTTTTGATTTTTGATAGGGAAAATCAAACCCACAACAGTTTACTATTCATGTTCTTCAGTTCAGTTTGCCAACTTTTTGTAGGAGAGGAAAAACATCAAAAAAGAGAAAAAAAGTGTATTGTGCTCCTGGCGATCAGTGCGGTGCTCCTGATGTAGTTTGACAGCTCACAAAAGCAGTCCACAACGCCAGCATCATGTTTGAGAAAAGTTCTTTTTTGTTGCAGATTTTGGATGAGCATCTGCCATGCAGTTCCAGTGCAGATGATGTTCTGGCGCGGTCCACTGATTTTTTGCTTGCAGTGTAGTGTCGTGAAATTATACTCGTCCTCCCCCGTCATCCTCACCACTTTATACTTAGTCCGATGCTTGCAGTGTGGTGTGGATTTTTTTTGTATAAAGATTATAGGGACTCATTTGATTGCAGCGAAACATGGTGATGTTCAGGCATGAGCATGCGGTTTCGACCATGTGGACATGCAGTGCAAAAATGGTGTTTTCCGTGTTTGATGATTTTATGTATAAAATTTATATGGACACGTTTGAAAATTGTTTACCAAAGAAGTTCATTTCGAATTGTGTTGCGTCTCATTTCCCTCGACCATGCGGTTCACTTCTTTGCACGTGTACACCTCGCCAATGTGGAAACCCAAAACTCCAAACAGAAAAAAGAAAGAAGGAAACAAAGTGCAAACATGTGTTAAATGAAAAATTGTAGAGAAACGACAAAAAAGTAATGCCGTTCACTTGACCATTTGATGATGTGCGGTTTTCTAACTGAAGCAGCGTGGTCATGTGTCTGATGTTGTTCATCTTCTAAGTGAGCATTTGATGCAGTGCGGTTTTCCAACTGAAGTAGTGCGGTCGGGTATTTGATGTTGTTCATCTTGTAATTGCAAAGAAAAAATGTTACCGAAACGACAAATAAAGTAATGCGGTTCACTTCTCCATATTTTTGGGGTTCACTTACGCCCGATGTGAAGTCCCGTCCACTTCCTTGCATGAGAAAATTTACGTGTAAATAGAAGAAATCAAGAAGTTCACTTGCCCATCTGATGGGGTGCGGTTTCCTGTCCAAAGCAGTGTGTTTTTCTGTCCGATGCAGTTCACTCGTGTCGCGAAAATATTAGTGTCGCGAAAAACAGAGTGTCCGCGTTTTCGTATTTTTAAAACTGCTCTTAAACCATAAGGAATTAGAGAGAGTATTCTACATGAAAAAGTTGTGCCTCGGCGATATGTTTCCAACGGCATATCATTTGAATCATTTCAACAACTGGTTTGTAAAATTTTTGCGAAAAACGGCCGCTGCCTCTCGTCGTCCGCCGCACGATTTTCAAAATTAACTTAAAACTGTAAGGAATCTCAAAACCATTTCTACATATGAAAGTTGTGTCTTGTCCATATCTTTCCAACGACGTATTACACGCCTCGTTTTGAC